AAAGCCACAAAGTCACTGAAAATAACTGGTCTAGAAGAAGAATGAAAATTTGTGTAAAATTACTCTTTTTCTGTGCCATTACGTGATTAAATAGGAAAAGCTCAGAATGCATTTTAGCCAAATCCTCACATCCTAGCTGTGAATATTTGATTTCATAAATCTTCATTTATTCTTAAGGGGTTCTAACAATGTTCAACTATTCATTCATTCCGCATACACATTCTAAGTTTTATGATATGCCTGGCCCTCCTCTAAGCACTGGAAATGAAAATTAGGAATAAAGACAATTTTGTGTCCTCCAAAGCTCTAATCACAAGACTGGAAGCTCATGGGCAATTATGATACACAACGATATGTCAGGATCCTAGAATTTTTTCGAGACCAAAATGACTAACACAAACAACAAGGCCCTGTTTGTAACACAGTGAAGTTAGTTCCTTTCCATTCCCTCTTGAATGATAAAAAACTGACAAGAGAGATCCCTAGGAAGTCTCTGCAAGGCCTCCCTGCAATAGCCCTCCTCGGTGAGACCTAACTACTGACCTACTGACCCAATCCACCTTCCATATCTGTGCCAATGGCAAGGTGATACATTCAGAGTGTCCCTCAGAAAGTGATTCCCTCAAGTGTATTACTGCAGCCTTTTCTATACTTTCCTATTTCGTTCCAGAAAGTTGATCAAAGGGGTCAAGATCTGCTTTTGTTCAATGGCCTACAGAGGAGATATGTAGGAGGCCCCATACAAGAATAAAGCAGACCTAAGAGATCAGGGAGAGACCAGTACATCAATTGTCATTTGAGCTCAGGTTACTTAGCTCCCTCCATTGATCGCAAGTAAAATAACCTGCACCATGTTATTACAACAGTCCTTTAAGTGATACCAACAAGCAATGTGTGTTGTCATTCCCATAGATAGCTAGAGCATTAGGAAATCCATGTGAAGGAAGCTATTGATGGTTGATATCGCTTTATTAGCAGGTATTATCACTGAGCAGGCAGACATTACAAGAGTGCCCTGGGGAATTGCAAATGCTGGATATCAAGATGGCTTTGAGCAACCCTGTGGCCAACATTCTCAACAGTTGTTCTTGCCACAATGCAGAAGACTTTTTCCTGGGACTATATCATAGAATGTCTCTTGATTACAAATACTAGCATAATAAAATTAGCTGATGATTCAGCAGCTGCTATGACACTGATGTGGTGATTAAACTAACGAAATAAGAGTTCATATGTAGCAGTCCTTTGATATTAAAGACAAAATCATGCTGACAATTCAGGGTAACTTCATTAACATGAGTTTGTATTGATTCCTGTTTCAAATAAACAGATCCTCAGCCCAAGATCTTTCCTATCAATTAGATCATTTGGATTTAATTTGGAGGGAATGGAGGGCAGTTTAAAATTTGAAGATGGAACCTATGGTAGAAACTACTTAAAAAGTGTGTTTGGGGATATGCTCTGAACACAATTTAAAGAAGGAGGATGGTCAGGGATTGGGTAGAGTATTGTTTAGATCTCTCGCAGAACCTTAACAAGCTTGATGGGTCATAACACAAATGTCTACAGGAGTCAGGCAAGTATCATCACTGAATAAACAGACAGACTGGAAGTCAGGAGGGAGGAGTAGAGTCAGTGAAAACCTCCTGAACTATTGCTCCCATAAGAAATGCAGCTGCAGGGACACAAGCCACTGGGGGGCAGGGGAGGCCGGAGGGATGTCAAGGGGGGCGGGGGAAGGAGACATATGTAATACTCTTTGTAATACTTTAAGCAATAAAAAATAATAATAAAAATTAAATAAATAAAAAAGAAATGCAGCTGCTGCTCAACTTCAGCTGCTGGTTACATTGAGATAATGGTGGCTTAATGTGGCTCCATTTGGGGCTATTTTAAGGAAAGCCAGGAATCCAAATTTTCTATAGTGAAACTCTCTGTTAGGAAAGGTTATCACCAACTCCAAAAAATTATTTTTAAAAGAAACAACAAATTTAGAAACCCACTGAAAAAGCTAATCAGAGCAGGGCTTGGTCTTGACTGCAGTATATGGGTTTTGCTTCATATTATAAACACTTGAGTACAGCTGTCTCTACCTATTGAGACTATAAGCTTACAGAGGGGCTGCAATATACTTAATTCATTTTTACATCCTCATCACCTATAAGAATGTTTCAGTTGAGAGATATGAAAAAAAAAACTTGCTTAATAACAAAAGAAATTCCTCATAGCAAGATGACAAAGCAAAGTGATCAATTAAAATGGCCAAAAGTCAACATATTTGTTTATTCAGTATGTTCTAAAAACATGTGTCTCACATGCAGTCATCATGACAGGGGTCCTGGGAAATAGAACAGATGAAAATCACCAGAATGGATACCCCCTTCCATTTTTCACATTCCATAGTACATATTTCATTATGGGAATAACATTATACCTAGAAAATAAACCTGATAGTACAGATTGGTTATCCTGGATGATTGTTCCTATTTTAGAGATGAAGAAACCGAGGCAAGAAGAAAAGGATTTACCCCAAACATACTGTGCATCCCAGCTCCCTCTAAGACGCAGTTGGGAATAAATAGGAACACTTTGACTTTTAAGTGAGACACTCTTAGTTCTGCCACTACTATCTGTTAACTATGTGGGCCTCTGCTATCTTTAAAATGAAAATACTAGTATCTACCTTGTGGGTTGTTGTGAGGGTTAAATGAGTCAATTTCACTAAAGTGCTTACTCCATAGCAGTTGCTTGAAAGTGAGAGCTTGCAATTTGTTCTAAATTTTTCTATATTTTCTAAACTAAACTAGTTGTCCTTACTTGTATCTAAGTTTATCTAACACATATAAACAGGTACTAATTTTCACTCTCTCCAGTAGTAAAGGACCAGAACCTTGAAACAGTAATGCTGACTTCTATGTGCAGAGGGGGTACTGGAAATGTTACAAGGAAAATATTCTACCGGTCATGTTATGTTCTGAAAAAATAATGCTCTTCCAGGTTTCCATGAGCAAGTGACACACATGTGCATCTGGAAGGTTGGGTGTTGCCAACCCACAGTTCTCCCCACCCCACATGCAGGAGCTTCAGTGTGCCAGGTCCTAGGAATGCTGGCAGTGAATGGGAGTGAGCTTGTCACCAGCCAAATAACTAGGGTTTATTGTTGTTATTTTGGTCTAGGATATACATTCTAGCTTGTTTATACAGTAAAACCTCAATATAACAGACTAATTCAGGTAAGGGGGATTCCATTAAAGCCGTAAGTCCACTATATAATAAAGCAGATTTTCCAAATGTGTATGTTAAAATATTGACAAATTAGTTTACCTGTTTTTAGTTATGTAGACACATCTGTGTAATTTAAATTAATTTCACAAAAAAGTTTTCTATGTGTATTACTGTAATTTTTTAAATAAATCTTTATTGTTCAGATTACAGCTGTTCCTCTTTTTTCCCCCCATAGCTCCCCTCCACCTGGTTCCCACCCCCCTCTGCCCTCCCAGAGATTTTCATACAGTGCTTGAGCCCCAGAATCTCAATTTTTAAAGAAGCATTCCACATAATTCTCTTGCAGGCATTCCACCAACCATAGTTTGAGAAACACTGGTATAAATGAATAGGTTAATATATGTATCTACATAGATAAAAGACAACTTTGGGAGAAAATATTTGCAATATTTAGCAAGCAAGATATTAATATCATTAGTATATAAAGAGTTTCTAATAATCAATAAGAGAAATATAATTCAATAGAAAAATGAACAAAGGATATAAACAAGCCATCACAGAGAAAACACAACTGTTAATAGGAGTTTATTACAACCTTTCTAGGGTGTAATTTGGACACGTCTATAAGCATTTTAAGTTTTTATACTCCATGATTCAGCCTTTTCACTTTCCAGAATTTGTCCCAAAAGTATAACAGAACTATATATGACATAACAATATGTAAGAACATTTATCTCAGCATTGTTTGAATGGTAGACAATTGAAAATACAAATGATAAAGAAGAAAATGTTTTGTGTTCATTGAAACCCATGGGTTACCATATTAACCTGAAAAATGTATGCTGAATACATGTTGAATGAATAATATGCCAGAAGCCGATCCATCCTTGCTGCTTGATACAGTCGCTGCAGGGAAGAAACATCTGCACAGCATATGTTTCAAGGGACCTGGCGTATATGGCATACTGTTCTTAATATGTTTGCTCCCCTTCTTAGCGCTATGTGTTTTAACCAAAGACACCTCTCCAATAAAGGTTGTTTCCCCAGGTTGGGATTTTTCCCTGGAGTTAGAGAGGGAATAAAACCCCTTAACTAAGTGCCAGGCGGGTAATTAATCACTTTAACTACGAACAATCAAGCTTAAGCTACATAATCTTTACTTAGGATAATCTCCTTCAGTTACTTCCTTATAGCTTAATAGAACAATAGAGTAACCTTGGAATGGAGATAAGAAACGCCCTAACCTTAGGAATAGAATTGATAGGATTAAAATCTACTGGTATAAATACAGATGTAACAAGACAATAAACACAGAACTTGGCTAGAGAACCTGGCTTGGCTGCTGATCAACTGAATGCTGTCTCCGTGCCATTGCTTCTTTTCCGACTCCATCCACACCTTTGGGAACCCCTGGACCTGCTGGGGCTGGACTCCAACAAGGTAGGGAAGTTTTCTGTCATTATTTCTTCAAATAGGTTTTCAATATCTTGCTCTCTCTCTTCTTCTGGCACCCCTATAAATAGATATGAACTATTTATTGATGTCAGTAACATTGCTAGTGTTTTCCCCCACATATGGCTTAGTAGCTAAAATTTGTTTAAAGTAACAGTGAATTTGGCCACCAGGGTTGGCCGCGAAGCTTCGCCGCCACGGTTTTCACACGGGCCCATATCCCAGCCAGGCCCCAGCATGGCTGCGCCCAGGGCTGCGGGGTGGGGAGACACCGTGCTCTCGTTTTCCTGACAGCCTCTGGCTTCTGTGCTCTTCCCTTCCTCAGGCCACTCCAGCAAACATGTTTTCTAAGGCCTTTCGGGTCAAGTCCAACACGGCCATCAAGGGATCAGACAGGAGAAAGCTTCGAGCTGACGTGGCAGCTGCTTTCTCCGCCCTGGGGACCGACCAGGCCTCAGCGTTGGTGCCTGGGAAGGAAGAGCTCAGCATCGTGAAGCTGTATGCTCACAGAGGGGATGCCGTGACTGTGTACGTGAGTGGTGGTAACCCCGTCCTATTTGAACTGGAGAAAAATCTGTACCCGACAGTGTATACCCTGTGGTCATATCCTGATCTTCTACCAGCATTCACAACATGGCCTCTGGTGCTCGAAAAACTGGTGGGGGGAGCAGATTTGATGCTGCCGGGAATAGTGGTGCCCCCTGCTGGTCTGCCTCAGGTACAGAAGGGTGACCTCTGTGCCATTGTCTTGGTGGGAAACAGGGCCCCTGTGGCCATCGGAGTGGCTGCCATGTCCACATCTGAGATGCTGACTTCAGGCCTGAAGGGAAGGGGCTTCTCTGTGCTCCACACCTACAAGGACCACTTGTGGCGATCTGGAGACAAATCCTCTCCACCTTTCATTGCCCCACTGACCCTGGATCCCTCAGATGTCAGTGAAGAGAAGGGGTCTGTCCAGGCAGGCCCCACCCTGCAGGATGACATGAGGAGCCTTACCCTGGAGAGAAAGGAGGAGGAGAATGGGGAAGATCAGCAGATGTGTAGGGAGAAGACCCTACCAGAAGCCTCAGAAGACCCTGGCGTCAGGGGCCTGAACCCAGACCCCGCAGACAGCAAGACCCTTCAAGAGCAAATGGATGAACTGCTACAGCAATGCTTCTTGCATGCTTTGAAGTGCCGAGTCAAAAAGACCGACCTCCCTCTACTCACCAGCGCGTTCCTCGGTAGCCATGTGTTCTCCTGCTGCCCTGAAGGATGGCAACTGGACATAAAGAAGTCAAGCTACAAAAAACTCTCTAAGTTCCTGCAGCAAATGCAGCAGGAGCAGATTATACAGGTCAAGGAGCTGAGCAAAGGGGTGGAGAGCATTGTGGCTGTGGACTGGAAACACCCCAGGATCACATCTTTCGTCATACCTGAGCCCTCCCCGACCTCCCAGACTATCCAGGAGGGTAGCAGGGAACAGCCCTATCACCCTCCAGATATAAAACCCCTCTACTGTGTCCCAGCCAGCATGAGCCTGCTCTTCCAGGAGTCTGGCCATAAGAAGGGGAGCATTCTCGAGGGCAGTGAGGTCCGGATGATCATCATTAACTACGCCAAGAAAAATGACCTGGTTGATGCAGACAACAAAAATCTCGTACACTTGGATCCCATCCTGTGTGACTGCATCTTAGAAAAAAGTGAACAGCACATAGTCATGAAGCTTCCATGGGACAGTCTTCTGACCAGATGTTTGGGAAAACTGCAGCCTGCCTATCAAGTGACCTTTCCCAGACAAGAGCCCATTGTGAAGAAAGGCAAAATCTGCCCCATTGACATCACCCTAGCACAGAGAGCTTCCAATAAAAAGGTGACTGTGGTCCGGAATTTGGAGGCCTATGGTCTGGACCCATGCACAGTGGCTGCCACCCTGCAGCAGCGATGCCAGGCTAGCACCACTGTCACTCCTGCCCCTGGGGCCAAGGACAGCCTGCAGGTCCAGATCCAGGGAAACCAGGTCCACCACCTCGGCCGGCTGTTGCTTGAAGAATATCAGCTTCCTCGGAAACACATCCAAGGCCTCGAAAAGGCCCCCAAGCCTGGCAAGAAGAAGTGACAGACTCTTGCTTCATGTGGTCGATCCCGTGGAATCCAGGTTCTGGGCTGCTCACTCATAGGAGCGTTTTCAGCTTTTGCAAATAAAAAATATATAATTCTTTACCAGAACAAATTTTTATTCTAATCTAAAAAATAAATAAATAAAATAGCAGTGAATTAATAACAAACATAACCTGTTAATTTAATTATGAGCAAGTCTTGGTTAAAATCATTTTAAAATTAACAGGGTGCTAATTTTTACATAATTGCATACAGCCTGGAAATATTGTCCGTTAAATCTGAAGTCCTGTAAATGGAAGTTCACAAAATTGAGGTTTACTGAAGCAGTAAAAGATTGGAACAAACTGGAAAAGAGTGTGACTATCCCAAAGGCCACAGGGAGATTGAGACTGAGCTTGTGGGGCCATTTCACTGTGGAAGGGTAAAAATCTTGTGCGTGGAAGCTGATCTGTTATGAGATATTTAAATCTTACGTATCTATTTCTTGTTCGTTCTCCTCTGGGCTCAAAACGGTTTTTATAAGATCAAAGCCGGGCCAGCCTTACTAAGTAGAACCAAGAGGGAAAGATCACCAGAGCAAGCAGCATAGCGCCCTCTGCCGTCCAGTGCGGCGGCGGCGCCTCTGCAGGAGAAGAGAGGGTTGGAGCCGCCAAGTCGCTGACAGCCAGGATCAGGACCCACGCCTTTGGGAGTTTTATTACAGCGGCTCCTGAACAAATTGGCTCCATAACTCAGGGAGCATCACCCGAGGGTGGGACCAAGCCCCCCGCTCCCCTGAAGTAGATGCTACCCCCACTTCCATCCCACACTGTGCATCCAGCGAAGATTCTCCAGGTGAAAAGGGGAATAAAAAAGCTGGAAAACGGGCAAATCAGCTTGGGATGTGGCAGGGGCGATGCACTCATCTGGCAGGAAGGGCAATTACGAGGAGGAGACAGAGTGGCCCTTCCCCAGTCGGCCACCTCTTCTTATCCCCAAAAATCTATGATGCTCACCTAGTTGCTCCTCAGTACAGCAATTGCCATAGCTTACATTTGTAAAGTGCTTTAGGGATTGCAAAAGTTGTTTTTTTCATCTGATTCCCACCACAGCCTTGTGAGTTAAGGCAAGTATTTTATAAAGAGATAATTGACCTTCAGAAAATTTCAGTGACCTGCCCAAAGTCAGGCAGCTAGGTAAGAAGCAGCCTGGAATGTTGGCAAGCCCTTCAAATTACCCATAAAAATAAAGTCCCCCACAGTTAGAAACCTGCTTCACTACAAACTAAGAAAGCATCACCAGCCTCCTCTTTCTCTTGCACTCACTTGACCTCATTTGGGCCCTAACCCCCTGCCTTCCCACTCCTCTCCCCAGTACCACAAAAGAGTTACCACAGCTTCCTCTGGCCCTCCAATGAGAATCCTTACATTCACGGTCTTGATCCCAGGCATGAGGCCCCTTTACTAGGCCCTGGGCTGAGGATCCCACAGAGTTAGAGTCTGGGATTCTGCCCCAGGAGAGGTGTGAAGTGTCCCTACTCCTAAGGTACATTATTATAGTGCCCAGCTATAGGGAGAAAATGGATGTGGTGGAGCTGAGTAGGCTACTACCCCATTAGTAGAGGCTATCAGTACTGGCCCGGCTTTGATCTTATAAATAGAGGCTATCAGTACTGAATAGGACGTCAAGCAATGTGTGGGGAGACTCCACAGCAGGCGCCCAGTGGTCCTTGGGGAAATCAGACCCATGCATGGCCTGGAAGATGGAAAGAAAGAAATGTAAAACAGCCCCAACTCCTGGAATCCCCAAATAACTGCCTCCGCGCCCTGAACCTCTTTTTTGCTACAGGTCATATGAGGAAGGGGTCTGATTGTCCCCCTTTATCCAGATGAGAAGAGGCTAAGGAAGAACAAAGTCTAAACAGAAAGCATAAGTCCTACACCAGCCTCCACCTGACTGCTCCCCACAAGCCCTGTTTCCCCTAAGTAGTCCTGGGGTTCTCTAACTTGAAGCCAGGATATCAAAGAACCTGAGGAAAATAGTATTCATGGTTTCCCAGTGAGGAAGAGGTTTCTGAAAGTTGGCTGGAAGGAAGGGAAGAGGGCCTGAGGGACCCTTGATTGGGTGGGTGGGTGGGCGGGGGCGGGGGGAGAAACAAGAGCTGAGATCTGAGGAAAAGAACAGATGCTGCTTAGACGGCCTCTCTCATGCCCTCCCAGGTTCTATAAAGAAAAACCCTCACCCTCTAGTAGTCTTCTCCTTCCACTACCAGCGCTACAGCTTTGGTCTCAAGATTTTTTGTCACAGTCCACACTCTGGATCAGCTCTCCAAATGCCCTCACTAGCTTTCTGCACTACAGCCTGAGTCACCCCTAGGGCTCTCCATTGTCTGTTTTTCTTTCAGCCTGACCATTCGGCTCTGCCTAGCTTCCTTCCTCCTGGGTTCAGGGCTTCCCTGTGATTCTGACCTCTTTCTGATTTGCCACAAGCCCATAAACAGGAATCATTGTCCCTCATCTGGAAATTTGAAGTAAAAAGATACATATTCACTTATGATGCAGGGTCCATAGCACATGCTAAGTAAATCTTTATGGAATGAGACGGGGCTGCCCTGGTGAAAGGAAAACTCCTAAACTAGGTTCTCGCCCATCCAGCCCTTTGCAGCGTGGCAGGGTGATGACAGGGCTTCTCTTACTTGTAGAGTTCTCCGGAGCCTCCCAGATCCTTGCTCAAGTGTCTACATGGCTCAATACTAGAGAGTGCTTTCTCACATGCGCTGCTTATCTGAATGCCTTTGGGACTAATGCAGTCAATTCAATTGTAACCAATTGAGATTGTTCCATTTTGAGAAGAGTTGGAATGTAAAAACCAACTATATGTTGAGTCTTCTTAGTGATGCAAAACTTCCTTTCCCAAGGCCTTTCTTTTAACTTTTCCTGTAGGTTATAATCCCTAAGCTATTAATCATGTCTGCTGACCTTCTCTGGTTCTTCTATTTTTTTTAAATATATTTTATTGATTTTTTACAGAGAGGAAGGAAGAGGGATAGAGAGTTAGAAACATCGATGAGAGAGAAACATGGATCAGCTGCCTCCTGCACACCCCCTACTGGGGATGTGCCTGCAACCAAGGTACATGCCCTTGACCGGAATCAAACCTGGGACCCTTAAGTCCGCAGGCTGACGCTCTATCCACTGAGCCAAACTGGCTACGGCTTCTCTGGCTCTTCTAAAAGATCCGCCCACCTCTGCCCAGCTGCAGTGGCTCAGTAATTGAGCGTCGACCTGTCAACCAAGAAGTCACGGTTCGATTCCCAGTCAAGGGCACATGCTCGGGGTTGCGTGCTCGATCCCCAGTGGGGGGTGTACAGGAGGCAGCCGATCTATGATTCTCTCTCATCATTGATGTTTCTGTTTCTCTCTCCCTCTCCCTTCCTCTCCAAAATCAATAAAAATATTTAAAAAAAAAAAAAAAAGATCCTCCCACCTCACTCTTGACAATGCTGGTGAGCAGGAATAAGTCCATTCCTCTCTGGAGACTACTAGAGTATGTCCCATCACTTCCGCCTATACTATGGCCTAATTCTCCCCTCTGCCAAGGTAACTCCAGGGCCCCTTGCCAGATGAAATGCCAAGGAAATAGAAGAATCATGCAGGTACTCCATTGACAGACTTCAGTTGCCAATCTCTCCCACCCGAGAACTCATCTCTGCTTCTTACCAGGGACTCAGGGTCATGAATTCCTGCGTGGAGGTAAAGGGACCCAGAGAACACAGCATATGCTTGCCTGCTGCTACCACAGGGGAGTTTGTGACCAAGGTGGTATGATTTACCAATGTCTATCCCAGGAAAGGGAGGAGATGACTTTGTACCTCTAGACAGAAAATAAAAACCAGAGTCAAGGGAAAGAATTAAATGTGTGAAATATTGCTCTGGAGTCATCCTGGAGAATGTTTGGATAAGTTACAGAAATTCCTTACAGGCCTGTTATCTAGCCATGGTGAACCATGGACAGTCACCTCCTGGTCTTGTTCTGGCTCTGCCTGGAACATCTGTCCCCTCTTGGTCTTCATCCTTCCAGATTCAATTTGTTGTCATTTCCTGGAAGAAAGCTTCCCCATCCCCTGCCACACACTCCCTAGACCTGCAGTTAACCCCCCATCTTCCCTTCTCTTCTCATTGTTTGTATTATTATTATCTAGTTATAGGTGTGTTTTCCCCCAGCTGACTGTCGGTTTCTGAGGGTCACAATCTCTAACATCAGTCTCTAGAGTGCTATCTATCATATGGAAGGAACTCTCTAAATGTTTCTAGAATAACCCCCCCAAAAAAAGAAGGGGGGATCACTGGATCAAAAGACACAAACATCTTTTTGGTTCTTGACATATTGCAAACTGCCCTCCAAAAGTTTGCATCTATTTACAATGCAATCTGCTATGCATAGAATATAGGTCTCACTGCTATTTTATTAAGAGAAACTGTGTCCTAATATTTTAACATGTATTTCTTTACTAGTGATGTTAAATAATTTCCCACAGTTCATCTCACTAATTATAATCCTGTTGAGGGAAAGCCCCAATCTAAATTCAGGATTGATTCTGAAGAGCTGACACACAGCCTTATTCAAATTCATAAGAGCATTAATAAGAGAAACTTACATACACAGGCAAAGCAGCTGCTTGCTGCCAGTGGTGGCCAGCCGGGAATAAATCCACACCCACCCCAGACAGGGTCTCTTTTTTATAGGGTTTTAATAGTAAAACTATATGGTGGTAGTCATGGAGATAAACGGAGAGAATAATGCATTTCTAAGCTAACAGATAACATCAGGCAGTTATCACACTCTACATTCATTAACCTCCTTCCTGGACCTGACATTTATCTTTGGGTGGCATTGTGGCTTTCTGGGTATTCAGCCCAACATGAGGCTACAGACAGTTAAACAGTCACAGAAAGTTAAACCATGAGTCCAACATTTCCCAGACGTCTTTACTGCTGGAGACATATTGCATCTCTGAGCTCCCCTAAAAATCCTCTATCATGAATTTCTCTTTATATGCCAATAATCATTTTCTGACAGCTTGCCAAAGCTACAGCCAAATTTCTTTGTCCCCCCCAGATAAA